AGGAGGAGGAGGAGGGGGAGGAGGGGGAGGAGGAGGAGGAGGAGGGGGAGGAGGGGGAGGAGGAGGGGGAGGGGAAGGAGGAGGGGGAGGAGGAGGAGGAGGAGGAGGAGGAGGGGGAGGAGAGGGAGGAGGAGGAGAACCATGTTGCAAAACCGGCATGTGAGATTCCTTTTGTGAAAAAAAAATTATTTTTATTTCTCCATCTAGATGTAGATCTATGCATCGCAAAATATTTACAGGGATGGTTGTCCAAGCATGGTGGTGTCTATTGTAGAATTTTTGCTTTATTCTACATGATTGGGGGGAAAAATCCTATGCACGCCCCATTTTTTTGGGGGGGTCCGGGCGTGGGGCCTGAACTCTGGGCCTGGGCACTGTCCCTCAGCTCTTCAGCTCAAGGCTAGCACTCTACCACTTGAGCCACAGTGCTACTTCTGGCTTTTTTCTTTTTGCTTATGTGGTGCTGAGGAATGGAACCCAGGGCCTCAGGCATGCAAGGCAAGCGCTCAACCACTGAGCCACCTTCCCAGCCTCTGCACGCCCCATTTTTAAGCAAGAGAAAAAGAAAAAAAAAAGAAAACCCTTTGGAGAATAATGTAAGGAACAATTAATTCCTGCCAAGAATCAGGAAAGCACTCATGCCCTTGTACCTAGCTGTGTCACTCCAGGGCCCTGCCCTGAGGAAATAATCCACTATCTATAAAAACACACACAGCAACGTTTATTCATAACGGGGAAATTCAGTAACCATGTAAGCGACGTACATTGGGGTAATGATTATTAAATTATTCACTCATTGGAACACTGTGCAACAATTAAAATGAGAAAGACGATGACCAAGGAACATGGTGGAAAACTGCTTATGAAAAATGAGAAGTGAAAGGGGCAGGCTGCAAAATGCAACCCATTCTGGATACTCAGTCAAATAAAGTGTGGCCCATCTTTGGACAGGAAAGGGGGAGGAAATGGGGAAGACAAACAGTAGAGTGCAGGGAAGGGGGGCGGGGGAGGGGGTGCATAGACTAAAGCATATTTTGCTTTAAAATTCCCCTCAAAGTAAAGGTGGGAGAGGAAGGCAGAAGAGAAATATGGGCTTTGCCCCCCAGGGGGTTCTGGGTGAGAGAAAACTGGAGGAAATTTACAAGACAGGACAAACAGCTCTAGTCTCTCTACCCCCTTGCCCTTTTCTTTTCTTTTTATGGCTGTACTGGGACTTGAACTCAGGGCCAGGGCACTCTCCCTTAGCTTTTTCTGCTTAAGGCTGGTGCTTTACCATTCAAACCACAGCTCCACTTCCAGCTGTTGCCGGTTAATTGGAGATAAGAGATTTATAGACTTTTCTGCCTGGGCTGGCTTCAAACTGAGATCCTCGGATCTCAGCCTCCTGAGTAGCTAGAATTCTAGGCATGGGCCACCTGCTCTGGCTGGCACCACTCCCCTTTCCCTTTCTTATTTTAGACAGGCCTCATTATATAGCCCAGACTGGCCTCAATTCAAGATCTTTCTATCTCCATCCACCTCCTGAGTGCTGGGTGCTGAGTGCCACCACGCCCAGCATTCTAGCCCAAAGGCTGGAACTCCTTGCTTTCTGACTTGACAGAGATCAGGTGGACCAAGCCTCTCATGGGATGGAGCTGGGAGTAAGTTTTAGATGATAATAAAGCCAGGGTTAGGAATGGTCTTTGGGGGTAGAGGTTCAGTGGTATGGACAGTTGTCTAGCATGGGTTCTATCTGCAAACCCCTGACCCCCACCCAAAAACAGAAAATAAAAACTTGCTCTCCAGATTGGAACCTCTCAGAAAACTTGATCGTAGTTTCTAGTGATGAGATTGGAAAGAAAGGAGCACTATGGGGGCTGGGAAGGTGGCTCAGTGGTAGAGCGCTTGCCTTGCATGCATGAGGCCCTGGGTTCGATTCCTCAGCACCACATAAGCAAAAAAAGAAAAAAGCCGGAAGTGGTGCTGTGGCTCAAGTGGTAGAGCCCTAGCCCTGAGCTGAAGAGCTGAGGGACAGTGCCCAGGCCCAGAGTTCAGGCCCTATGACCAGAACCAAACAAACAAAAAGTAACACATGGCAATATTTACCTGAGTCAAGTTAAAGAACCTCTTTGAATATCTCCATTAGTAAAATGGAAATCAAACTAGAGACCCTGATTATTTTGGAAGAAAGGCTTAAGAATTGTCAGTGCTTGCTCATGCCTGTAATCTTAGCTACTCTGGAGGCTGGAAGCTGAGGACTGAGGTTCAAGGCCAGCTAGGGCAGAAAAGTCCACAAGACTCTTATCTTCAGCTAACCAGCAAAGAGCAGGAAGTAAATGTGTGGCTTCAATGGTAAAGTGCCAGCCATGAGTGAAGAAGACAAGCCAGAGCTTGAGGCTTTGAGTTCAAGCCCCAGTACTAGCACACATTCACAAACAACTGTCAGTGATCTTGCACATGGTAGGCTTGGCTCTTCAAACAATAGCCACACCCTCACATACTACATGTCCCCAACTTCTGCATCAAAGTACAAGTCCAACCCTTTCCTTACGCTCCAGGAGGATAGGCAAAAAGCTGACACCCAAAGTCCTTACATGAAGGCAGAGACTCCCTTCCATGGAGGGGCAGGATGAGGCGAGAAGGACCCCACTCTAATACTGCCTACCTAGGAGCATCCGTGTGCCTCTCCTGACCCAGCCTTTCAGGACAGGAAGTAGGAGAGGGAAGTAATTAGCACTTCCCAAACCAGACTTTGAGGAAGTGTTTAATAGCTGGCTAGATTCCTGGGCTCCACCTCCTGGAGGTTGATTCTCTAGTAAGGCGGGACCAGGCTGAGTCATGACGGTGATCTGGGCCACCCTGGCCTGGTCCTGGCTTCCACCCAGCCCTGCGCACAGGTTTTATGAGGTGCCCCAGCAGGGAGGGGCCTGGCATCTCAGGTGGCACAAGCCCTGGCAGTGGGAAGAAACCCGAGTGCGTGTAGACTATCTGATGGTACACCTGCTGAAGCTTCTTGAATATCAAGATCAGGGGAAGGCTCAGGAAGACGCATCTCTCTGGGCAGCAAGCTGCCCCAGGGCCGGGCTTTCTAGAGTCCCAGGGTGAGGAATTGGTAAGAAAAACACATCCAATCCCCTCTCTTGCTCCCAGCCACCTCTAAGAACCAAAAATGCCTCAGGCTGTCCCAACTGCCTAAGCAGCCTAACCAACCAGCCTGGGCTTTATCGCTTTATCTCTTTCCACATCTATGAGCAGGGCAGGGAGTTCCTTGAGGTCTGGGCAGGTCTTATTCCTCTCAGTGTGCCCAGTGTGGTGCTAGATGAATAGCTCATGAATAAAGAAGAGGGAGTAACACTTACCACATTACCACAGGGTCAAAGACGGACTGACATGCACACCCACCCTCCCACAGGAAAAACACGTGCTCACCTTTGAGAGGCAGGTACCCTGTCCTCTGTAATTCATAGAAGACTGGGGCCTAGGGTGCCTCCATCTGCTGTAATACCAAGTTACTGTGGGCATCAGGGTACCCTTTGCCTAGCAGGTGAGAGGCAATCTCCAATGATGCAAATAAATAAAGTTACAGAAACTCTTCCCAGAAAAAACAGGCCCTCTTTTCTCCCCCTCTCTTTGTCTCTATCCCTGTTTCTTTCCTCTCTCATTCACACACACACACACACACACACACACACACACACACACACACACACACACTCCACATACAATTTCCAGGTGAAAATGATATAAGCTTTTCACAAAAAGAGAAGATAAAGTCTGGAGGTGGAGCTCAGTTCTTACTCAAAAACAAGGCTCTCAGTTCAATTTCCAGCGTTTAAAAAAAGAAAGCTTGGGCTGGGATGTAGCTCAGTGGCAAAGCACTTGCCTAGCACTTGCCTAGGTTTAATCACAGTACCTATAGAGACCAAAAATAGTATAGCTAAAGAAAAAATCCATGCCAGGCACCGGTGGCTCACTCCTATAATCCTAGCTACTCAGGAGGCTGAGATCTAAGGATTGTGGTTCAAAGCCAGCCCAGGCAGGAAAGTCTATGAGACTCTTATCTCCAATAGACCACCAGAAAACTGGAAGTGGTGCTGTGGCTCAGGTGGTAGAGCACTAGCCTTGAGCTGAAGAGCTGAGGCACAGTGCCCAGGCTCAAAGTTCAAACCCCACAACCACCACCAACAACAACAAAAAAGAAAGGAAGGAAGGAAGGAAGGAGAAAAAGAAAACATTTAAAAAAAAGAAAAAAAATCAAACAAAAAATAAAGTTCTTTCTTTAAAAAAAAAAAGGATAAATGCTAGTTCATTGATGTTGAAGAAATGGTAGAGTCATACTCAAGAACTTATCTGAGCAATGATCTCAATCAATATCAAAATCACTGGGCAAAAGAGAGGGAACAGGACCATCTCTGAATCCAAGCCACAAATAAGAAACTACTTAACTCAAGGAAAAACTACTTAACAATGGAGAAGGAGAATATCAACCACCTCAATTGACTGATCAAAAATAGCATTTTTTTTGTGCCAGTACTGAGGTTTGAACTCAGGGCTTCATGTTCTCACTTGGCTTTCTTAATCAAAGCTGGTACTTTACAACCTGAGCCACAGCTCCATTTCTAGATTTTTACCTGATCTTACAAACTTTTCTGCCCAGGCTGGCTTTGAACCTTGGTACTCAGATCTGTTTCTTGAGTAGCTACCATTACAGGCCTGAAACACCAGTGCCTAGCTAAAATTAGCATTACTAACAGTGGGTTAACATGACTTTATGGATCTTGAGTCAAACAACATTTACATAGTATTCTTTTTTTTATTTTTCCATTTGGTCATGGAGATTGAACTCAGAGCCTGGGTGCTGTTCCTCAGCTCTTCAGCTCAAGAACAGCGCTCTACCACTTGTGCCACAGCGCCACTTCTGGTCTTCTGGTGGATAATTGGAGATAAGAGTCTTACGGACTTTCCTACCTGGGCTGGCTTTAAACCACAATCCTCAGATCTCAGCCTCCTGAGTAGCTAGGAGTACAGGTGTGAGCCGCCAGCACCTGGCTTATGCTAGTCATTTTGGAGTTAGTGTCTCAAGGACTTTTCTGTCTTGACTGGCACCAAACTTTGATCCTTTGAAACTCAGTCATCTGAGTAGCTAGTATTACAAGTGTGAGCCACTGGTGCCCAGCTTCCACGTAATATTCTTGCTAAAAATATTCATCCTGAATTCAATCATTGGGAAACAATCATATACACCCAGAATGTGAAACTTTCTATACAACAAGCACCCTTAACTGAAAAACCCAATGGTTTTGTAACTATCTTGTTCCTATATTAAATTTCTTCTTGCTTCAGATACCTGGAGGAGATTCAGTGTTCCTGACTCACGCATCTGTCTTAGGATCTCACTCGGGAGTGAGGAAGACTTGTTTTCCTTGGGCAATTCTCTGTTGAAAGACTTCCAAACACATGTCATTGTTTGGGTATCAGAAAGGCCATCAGAAGTTGATAAACCAAGTGCTGGTGCTGTCGGTCTCAAGATGCTGAATGGAATACCAGTTTCTGGACCTGAAATGTCCTCCGCTGCCCTGACTGGAGCTATTCCCCTGAGAATGCCAGGGTCAGGCACTAATCACTTGAAGCAGAGGTAGCAGCGCTACCAAAGACGTCCACAGTGCAGGTCTAGCCTTCTAAGTCTGTCTGGCATTGTCCTGGGACACAGGAACAGCTAACCAATCTCCTGGCACAGGGGTTCTCTGCTGCCAGACCTCTTGGAGCCGAAGCAGAAGGGTCAGCAACAGAGAGTCCAGCACAGCCAGACCCTCCCAGGAACACCGGAGACCCCTGCAAAATCAAGAGGCCTGGATGCGACTCTTCAGTCCTGATTCGTTCAAGCTCACTCCCACCCACGTGAGCCCCAGGCACCCACAGACCCATCCTCACCAGTCTTTTCAAGCATGCTGGGTCTTTGGATCTGTAAGTCAGCCCCGCCCATGCCTGCCTCCCCCAACGCACCTGTGGTCCAGCAGCAACAGGCCCTGCTCTAGCAGGTCCTTCACCTCTGTGCTTGCTCCAAACACATCCCACAGCGTCAGCTGGGGCTCAAACTGCTGCCAGTGCTGGGGAAAGCAGAAGGTCAGAGGTGAGGAGTTGCCTAAGCCTCACTGGGCCATGTGGCTGAGATGTCACTAAGGGCTGAGGAAGGGTCCAGTCCCCAGTGGGATCCCAGTAGCAGATGCTCAGGAACACTGGGACAGGTCAGTGGGATGACAGAAAAGTAAGGATCTTCCCACCCTGTTGCTCACTCAGCCCAAAGCCAGCTCCAGCCAAGCCAAATCTCTTTCTCTTCTCCCAACCCTTCCTGTCTCCTACTTCCCAATCAGGGAAGGGCCAGCCCCAACCAGGGCTTCGGGGCTCTGACTTCATCCAGAGCAGCTCGAGTGCACATTCTAGCTGATGTGGTTCAAAAACATTTAGAACCCCTTTGTCTAGTCTGTTCCTTCACACAGCTGAGAAAATCGGGGTTCAGAGAAGGGAAAGGATTTGTGCTCAAGGATATAGTAGAACAGGAATGAGAACCGGGTCTCTACAGTCTGCGTTCCAGCTTTCTGACCACTGCACCACACTGTCTACAATGCACAGGGAGTGTATGGGAGGGTCTGGGCAGGAGAGAGAGACAGAGACAGACTCAGGAGGAGCCAGTGTTCTGTGAGAACCCCCTGATCCCTTACCTGGTGAGTGATCCCCACGTCAGTGCGCAGCCCTAGGGCCACACACTCCTCCAGCCTGGAAGAAAAGTCATCAAGGAGTCTTTGAGAGGAGACCTGTGCCTCTTGTCTTTAACCCTGACGTGCAGATGGGGGCTGATGGGAGCTAATGGACCATGGGAGCATGGAGCCGGGGGTAAGGGGCAAAGCAGGCAATAAGGATGTCCACATGGAGAAGTTCCTGGGGTACAGGGGTGGGAGCCTGGCTAAAGAGCCATGTGCCCTTAGATGCTCACAGCTCCAGCTTGCTCAGAGGGACACGCTTCCGGGTTCCATGTCCAAACAGCTTCACCTCCTTCATCCAGTGGTCAGGCTCCAGCGTCTGGATCCGAGCCTCCCGGGGGTGACCTTCAACTCCCTGGGGCACAAATCGGCCATGGGCCCCTGATAACATCAACAACACCCCCACATGGATAGCAGCTAATCATGGGCACTTTCCCAGACTTAAATCAAAGGTTCCTAAAAGTTTGGCCCTGAGACTGACAATACCTTCCAGGCTACAAATGTAAATTCTCAGGCCCTCCCTCAGCCCTGTCCAATCAGAAATTCTGAGGGTGGGTCCCGGCATGTGGGGTTGTTACAAGCCCTGCAGGGGATTCTGAGACACACCTGGAAATAGACCAAGCACCTTACAATACCCGAACAGTTCTAGAAGATGGATGTTACTTTTTGCTGCACTTTACACGGGAGGAAATACAAGCTTGGAAGGAGGAAATAAGCTGCCCACACGCATCCAGCCATGGTATCCTCTCCTGAGTCATCCCTTCTGCCATCCACAGGGAACTTACCAGGCCCAATGCCAAGGTACTGACCACACTGCCAGTAAGTCCAATTGTGGGTGCTGAGCGCCCCCTGGAGGGAAGGAGGGAAGAGCGAACATAGAGGAAAGAGTTGAGGGGGAGGGGAATGTCCTCTTTCTGCCCAGATAATGGGCATCTGGTTAGACTGTCCCACTATCTCAAGCCTGATCCCACCCAGTATAGGTCCTTCGCTTCAGAAGATCCTGGTTCCCTGTTCACAAGTCAACCAGCCCATTCCGCCCCTCCAGCCATCATCCTCTGCCCGGACACTCACGTTCCGGGCGAAGTTGGAGACCTCATACTGACGGAAGCCAGCCTCCTGCAGGACTGTCCGGCCCTCCTGGTACATCTCAGCAGCCAGCTCTGGGTCAGGGGCAGGAAGGATGCCCTGCTGTACCTGGGTGAAGAGTGAGGTGCCCCGCTCCAGGGACAGCTGGTAGAGAGAGAGATGATCATCACAGTGGTACAGCAGTTCCTGCAGCTGCCTCAGCCATGGCCGCACCTTCTGGGCTGGCAGTCCCAGCATCAGATCCACAGATACACGGCCAGGGAAGAGCCTCCGGGCCTCTGCCAGTGTCTGTAGGGCATCGCTGGCCGAGTGTGTCCGCCCCAGCAGTTGGAGCTCAGTGTCATCCAGGGACTAAAGAGAGAGACAGGAGAGGCATGCTGGCCAGGTCAGTGGGAGAGAGAATGCTCTGCCCTATGGTGATGCTATTATGGGGGGCACACAGCATATGGTGGGAGCTACGTGGTCAAGAGTACCCAGAACTCCTTATTCATCTAAGAGTAAATTTAATCCTGTGACTAGCTCTTGAGGTCAAATAAATGCAAAGTCAGACCTGGAATTTAGACTCCAAACCCATGAGGGGGTGTGAGTGTGGTGATGGGGTGGGGGGTGGGGGGGGTGCATGCATGCACACGTGCACATGTACCCTGTTACTGGGGTTGAACTCAGGGCTCGACTTCCTGCGTGGCTTATTCAATAAAGGCAGGCATTCAACCGCTTTAGCCACAGCTCCACTTCTACCTTTTTGCCTGCTAATTGGCAATAAGAGCCTCACTTTTTCTTCCTAAGGTAGCTTTGAATGGTGATCCTCAGATCTCAGTCTATCTAGTAGCTAGGATTACAGATCTCAGGTACTGGTGCCTGACTATTTTGGTTTGTTGGTTTGTTTAACTTTATTTTTTTACTTTGGGACAACTTAAACCTAGAAACAAGTTGCAAGTAAAATAAACACCTTCAACTAGACCCATCAACAACCTTTGGCCACATTTCTTTTGTCTCTAAATATCACTAAATGAAACATGGGAATGTGAGTTCTGGGCCAGCACTGCCCACAGAAACTTCCTGCGATGATGGGAATGTTCTTTTATCTGCACTTCCCAGTGCAGTCAGTACTGGACACACATAAGTGAGTTATGCTGAGAAGAGCTACATTGCAGCGATTAGCACATAGCTAGTGGCTATTGTGCCAGACAGTACAGTTACAGATATTGTACCCTTAATGCCTAAATATTGAAGTATGTATTACCCAAACACAAGGCCATTGAGTTACATAACCACAATCCAATTACAGAGTTCTAGACGTGTGAGACTAATATACCACCATTATCTAATATACAGTTATATTCAAGCTTGGCCAGTAATGTCTACTGAAGTAATTTTCCTCTTCTTTCCCAGCCAGAGGGCAGGGGTCACACACTGCCTTCAGCTGTCAGTGCCTCTCAAGCCTCTTTTGTTCTGGATTCTTAGCTTTTCTTTGCCTTTAATAACATTGGTGTGTGTATGTGTGTGTGTGTGTGTGTGTGTGTGCGTGTGTGCGTGTGCTGAGAATTGAAACCAGGACCTTGTGCATGCTGAGCAAGTGGTCTATCACTTGAACTATGTTCCAGCCCTAACACTGAATTTTTTGAAGAATGTACGCCAATTTGTTTTGAAAATATATTTTGATAAATGCTAGAGATCCACTACAAAACATTGTGCACACAGTTAATACTGCTACATGTACTACATACATTAACATGTGTTAGGAGGGAAGATTTCATTCTAATCAAAAAAGTAAAGAGGCCCCCCCCCCTCTTTCAGTGCTGAGGATTGAGGGAAGCATACTAAACAAGTGCTCAACCACTTAGTTACACCCCTAGTCCCACAGGTTTCTTGATTTAGGTTTACCTAGTTTCAAGACACACATTTTAGGCAACAACATCTCAGGAAAGCCAGGGGCTGATAGCTCACACCTTTTAGCTACTTAGGAGATGAAGATCTAGAAGATGATGGTTTGAAGCCAATCTGGGCCCCAAAAGAAAAATAAGTCTACAAGACTCCATCTCAAAAAAAAAAAAAAAAAAAGCAAAATGTAGGGCTGGAGGCATGGCTTAAGTAGTAAAACACCAGCAGAACAAGCAAGCAAGTGGAGTAACAAGCTGAGCAAGCATGAGGCTCTGAGTTCAAACTTAGTACTACCGCCCCCCCTCCACACCAAATAAAGGAACATATCAGAAATTATGTACTGCCAGGTGCTGGTAGTTCACACCTGTAATCCTAGCTACTCAGGAGGCTAGATCTGAGGTTTGAGGTTCAAAGCCAGCCTGGGCAGGAAAGTCTGTGAGACTCTTATCTCCAATTAACCACCAGAAAACAGGAAGTGGTGCTGTGGCTCAAAGTGGTAGAGCTCGGGGACAGTGCCCAAGCCCTGAGTCCAAACCCCATAACCAATGAAAGGGGGGGGGGGGGGGGCGTTATGCAATAATTAAGCACCACCAGAAGGGAGCCAGCCCGGATGGTCTGGGGTTTCCCAGGATGGGGAAGGAGATGTGTGACCAGTTACCTGTAGGCCAATGGACAATCTGTTGACTCCTGCCGCTCCAAACGCTGCCAGCCTGGGGCCTGGGGCTGAAGTGGGATTCGCCTCCAGGGTGACCTCTGAATCTGCAGGCAGGTAAGCTGCCTGTGCCACGGCCTCCAGGACAGCGGCCACCGTGTGGGGGCTGGCCAGACTGGGGGTGCCCCCACCGAAAAACACAGACTCTATCCTGGGAAAAAGAGGGTGAAGGTGAGACCTTGCATTGGTCCTACCAACTCCACCAAACAATCCCCAAGATCTCGCGCGCACACACACGCACACGCACGCACGCACGCACACACACACACACACACACACACACACACGCACGCACACGCACCTTCGCACCCCGCTGAGCCGAAGCAGCGTCCGGGCCTCGGTGACCAGACAGCTCCGCAGGGCCGCCTCCTCCGGGCCGCCACGGGCGATGTACTTGTTGAAGTTGCAGTAGCTGCATCGCTTCTGGCAGTAGGGCCACTGGGGGACACGGGGTGCACGTGCAGGGCGAGGTGTGGCGGGGAGGGGAGAGGGAGGAGAGGAAGAGATGTCCTGGCCACTGCCAAGGCTCCTTGCCCACAATCCCATCTCCCAAGGCAGGGCACCCTGGGCTTGCGCCCATTTGAGGAAACTGAGGCTCAGCAGAGCAATCCCAGCACCAGCGACTTCATGTCTCCACGTCCCTAGTGGGGCCCCCAAACCTGTTCCAGATCTCAGCAAGGTGGGGTCCCAGTGACAAGCGATTCCGGGGTTCAGGGTCACCGCCCCTCCTCCCCACCCCCAGCCCTGCCCACTCACGTGCACATAAAGCGCCGCCCGCCGGGTCGCGGGTTCGGGACTAGGAGATTCTCCCGTACTGTCCACTACGTGGCGCCTCTGGGCCACTTTGGTGACGGCCACCCAGCTGCGGGCCCGCGCACCCGAGAGACCCATGGCGCGACCAGAAGCAAGGTAGAGAGAACCGAGCCGGAGGCCCAGGCGCCCCAGTCCAGGGCGCACAGGTGCGCGCAGAGCTGAGCTGCCCGGGTCGTCGGGGCGGAAGGAAGAGCGTCCGCGTCACCTCCGCAAACAAGGCCCGGGACCTCGGCTCTGCGGCGCCACCTGCCGGACACTGATACAATCGTCGCCGCCGCCCCAAGGATTTGGGGCCCACAGCTGTCCTTTGGGTTCTCTGTGCCAGGGCAAGTTTCCTAGCACATCCAGGAGCTCCTAGTTTATGCAGTCAGTTCCTTCTCGTTTTTATTCCCTGGGTAAGAGCTGGGACATGGGGACAGCTAGGTGCGTAAGATCAGGGTGTGATCTGACCACAAACAAAAAGCAAACCAACACGTATCAATACAAACCCTGCTGGACACCAGGTCAGGGCTGGGGGGTGGGGACCTACTGGAACGTGAGAGTCAGTGTGAGGAGAGGGCTCTTGGACTGGATGGTGGAGGAGCAAAAAGTTTTAGGGAACTGGCTTGGTCAGGAGAGTAGACTCTGATCTGGACAGGCCACCCCAGGCACCACTTGCTGGAAGGAGATAGGCCCCAGAAGAGCTATGTCCTTGGAAAGGCCACAGGCTTTGGACTTACACAGTTCAAGGCCATTCTTTTTTTTTTTTTTTTTTGGGTCTGGTCGTGGGGCCTGAACTCTGGGCCTGGGCTCTGTCCCTCAGCTCTTCAGCTCAAGGCTAGCGCTCTACCATTTGAGCCACAGCGCCACTTCCAGCTTTTTTCTTTTTGCTTATGTGGTGCTGAGGAATCGAACCCAGGGCCTCAAGCATGAAAGGCAAGCGCTCTACCACTAAGCCACCTTCCCAGCCCCAAGGCCATTCTTGAAAGGCCTGGGACAGCCTCAATTCTCCCCTCCTTTCTTAGTTTGTAATCCTTAAGAATACCTAGGATGTAGCTGGGTGCCTGTGGTTCATGCTTGTAATACTAGCTATTCAGGAGGCTGAGATATGAGGATCACAGTTCAAAGCCAGCCTAGGCAGGAAAGTCCATGAGACTCTTCTTCCCAATTAACCAGAAGAAAAAAAAAAAAAAAAAGAAGAAGTGGAGCTTTGGCTCAAGTGGTAGAAAGTGAGCTTTGAGTGGAAAAAAGCTAAGGGACAGGATCCAGGCACACACATGTCCGTGCGCGCGCGCGCATACACACACACACACACACACACACACACACACACACACACACGAATGTACTGGAAGCACAGAATCATGAACAATAAAGATAGGAGCAGGAAAGCTCAGGCTCTATTCCATTCCCCACTGGAAATAAAATGTCCTTTAATGCATTCATGAACCCAGGTATGTAGAACCTAGCGCAGGCTGATTCGCCGCACCCTTGGGCTACAGTCACAAATGGACTCTATCCAAACCAGGCATGAGGCACTGGCTTGCCTCCTGGGCTTCTGTTATCCTCCACTGCCTCTCTATAAGCAATACACATACTTCATGTAGCATGTGCCACGGTCTGTCTCTTAGGACCCAGACACATTTGTGATCAGTGCCTAGTAATCCTACTTCAGACACTGGTGTAACTGTAAATGAACCAGGGATCTGCTTCTGCGGCTGCCAGATAAAGCCAGTGACTCAGGATGAGGTAGGATAGATCAGGGAAAATGAGATAGGAAAAATGGCAGCCAAGAATTCTGAGAAAAACACTGTACAGACAAATAGCTTAATTAAAAGCACAGAAACACTATTTTTGCCTTAAGCCTTACATTCTCTCATAAGCTACAACATTTAATTTTAAAAAAAAACACAAAACCTCCCAGGTGCCAGTAGCCCACATCTGTAATCCTAACTACTCAAGAGCCCAGCCTGGACAGAAAGGTTTATGAGACTCATATCTCCAATTAATGAGTAAGAAGGTCAGAAACGGAGCTATGGCTCAAGTGGTAGAGCCAAAACCTTGAGTAAAAGAGCCAAGTGAGAGCACCTAGGCCCCGAGTTCAAGCCCCAGCACCAACGTAACAAAACCAAACCCCTCAAAACGGCTGTATTCCAGCTGTCCTTGCCCTGGTGCCCAGCTAATTAGCATGCTGTAAGACTGAGCAAAGAAGAGAGACACTTATTGTGGGGGCAAAGTGGCTCACTGACTGAGGAAAATATTTGTCTCAAGGGTGGACACCTGTCTTGAAAGTAGTGGATGGCAGAATTCATCCTTGGTCTGGGGGAAAAAAAAGTCCAGACACTAATGACTCAGATTTGGAGAAAAATCCCAACTACATCAGTGACCCAAGTTCGGCAGGCCAAACTCGAGGTTGGGTAAATGGTGTACCATCAAGAATGACGGAATGTAGCAGGTATCAGAACAAAGGAGAGCTCTTCACTCAAGGTAGATTTGAGCCAAACCCTAACCTACTATTTCCCCATAAACACCCATAATGTGAGAGTGCTCCGGGCACCTGTCATGTGCCCACACCCTTGTCTGGGTTATGTACTTTCTACCTTTCCATCACTCTGCTTTACAAATCAACTTTCTTCATCTTTACCTCAATGTGTCCTCACACTAATCCTCGTGGCTCAGGAAGCTGAGAACTGAAGATCTTGGTTCAAAGCCACGCCTGGGCGAACAAATTTGAGAGACTTTTATCTCCCATTAACCAGCAAAACCAGAAGTAGAGGCATGGCTCAAGTACCAGAGTGATCATCAGCCTTGAAGCGGGGATGGGGGAGCCCTCAGAACTCAAGGGCCAGAGGACTTCCTCCCTTTTGGAAACATTCTCTCTGGAGAATCACTGGTCACTGAAATGATAACAAGGAGACGGGATGAGGAGGAGGACGGAGCTTCATTAATAACAATCCAGCTTGGAAGATGCTGTGCCAAGCACCCTTAAATGACCATCCTGCTATTAACCTCATGTGTGAACCTTTCGTGCACTTTTATTTTTTTAAAACAGGGGAAGGGATGCAGGGCTTAGATGGAGACACTAATATTATTTATGAATTTGTTTTCTGAAGGTCTGTGGTAATCCCCAGTCTGTGAATAGAAAACAAAAGATAAGCTGGGACTGGTGGTTCATGCCTGTAATCCTAGCTACTCAGGAGGCTGAGCTCTGAGGATTGTGGTTCAAAGCCAGCCCAGGCAGGAAAGTCCGTGAGATTCTTATCTCTAATAAACCACCAGAAAACCAGAAGTGGCGCTGTGCTGATATTTCCTGGTTCTAATATTTCCTAAAATTATTTGCTTTTTGACTTCAACTGTAACTATCAGCTGTGTTGGTTTGTGAACAACCAGCCATGTTAAGGGTATGAGTCCTTACCAATGGAGTTAAAGAATCGACCCTCTGAGACAGGCACCAGTAGCTTCACACCTGTAATCCTAGCCACTCAGGAGGCTGAGATCTGAGGATAGAAACTCAAAGCCAGCCTTGTCAGGAAAGTCCTTAAGACTCTTATCGCTAATCAACCATTTAAACACCAGAAGTGAAGCTGTGGCTCAAAGTGGTAAGGCACTAGCCTTGAGTAAAGGAGCTCAGGGACAGTACCCAGGCTCTGAATTCAAGCCCCAAGACCAGAAAAAGAAAGAAAGAAAGAAAGAGAAAAAGAGAGAAAGAGAAAGAAAGAAAGAAAGAGAACCCCGCACCCCGAGTGAAAACTTTCCACTAACTTTACCAACCTCCCCTAATTGAAACTGCCAGCAGCCTCATTCCAAGCCCCATTCCCAGACATTCATGAAAAGAGGAATTTATGCCTTTGCCTCCAAAAAGGGCAGTACTCCAACCCAGTAGGGACCTTTCACTGATGGTTAGAGCGCTAACTTCCTTGTATTACCCTATCACCTTGGTAACCAATTGGGGGGGGGGGGCGGGGAATGATCCTGACTTCTTAGTGACAAGAAGGAACGTCACACTTTGGGTTAGGATAAAAACCAAGCAGACCACCTGGCCCAGTCTGCCTGCCTAGCTCTAGGGAGAATGTCAGTGCACCCTTCTGTACAGAACTAAAATGCCTTGATGCAATCTCCTGCATCTTTTTTTTTTTTTTTGGGGGGGGGGGGGTCCGGTCGTGGGGCCTGAACTCTGGACCTGGGTGCTAACCTTCAGCTCTTCAGCTCAAGACTAGTACTCTACCACTTGAGCCACAGTGCCACTTCTGGCTTTTTTTTCTGCTTCTGTGGTGCTGAGGAATGGAACCCAGGGCCTCAGGCATGCAAGGCAAGCGCTCTACCACTGAGCCACCTTCCCAGCCCCAACTCTGCATCTTTTGTCTATTCTTTTCTCTCTCTTTTTTTTTTTTTTTGGCCAGTCCTGGGGCTTGAACTTGAGTCATGCTTGGTTACTGCATGAATTAACGAATTCTCTTTTGTAAAACCTGTCATTTCAATGATTGGCCATCCTTTGATGGGCAAAACAGGCCTGGTTTGGTAACAGTACCCATGGGCCTTGTGGAAGTCAACTCTTTTGTATTTGGGTCAAGCTGCTTTATATTTAACGCTCCCTGTTCACCAGGGAAGCCCCAGGTGCAATGATCAAGAAAATAAAAATGAGCTAGGCATGGTGACTCACATGTATAATCCTAGCTGCTCAGGAAGTTGAGATCTGAGGATCACAGTTCAAAGCCCGCCCAGGAAGACAAATCCACGAGACTCTTATCACCAATTAACCAGCAAAAAGCCAGAAGCACAGGTGTGGCTCAAGTGGCAGAGTGCCAAGCATAATCAAAAAAAGCTAAGGGAGAACATGAGGCCGTGAATTCAAGCCCCAGTACTGGCAACCCCACCCATATAAAAAAAAAATTAGTGTCTAGCAAAGCACTCAGAGGAATAGATCTGAAGGTACCGGCTCTCCACACTCTCCCCTCCTTCCCAGATAGCTGCAGAAAGAGCACACTTGCCAGAGACCTGTCGAACAAAATAATTTTTTATGCCAAATCACAAAGACAGGGGCCTGGCGGAGCAGTGGGGAGGACCTCTCCTCCCGCTGATTCACAGTTTTAGATGTTGTTCCATTTGCTCTCGGAGTTTGAATTTCTGGATCTAGAGGAAAGACAAGAGCATGGGAGTTGGGCTGAGCCTTTGTCCACTAGGGTGACACCTGTCAAGTCTTCTGGGACTTGGGAGCATTGGGAGGGTGCTTCTCAGGCTTTCAGCGCTTAAACCCAAGAAACTCTGGATGACCTAACCAACTGTCCCTCCCCAGTCTCCTCCGCCTTACACACCTTTCCTGAGATGGTAAGAGGATACTTTTCCACAAACACAATGTATCGAGGAATCTTGAAATGGGATATCTGTAGACCAGAGAGGTAAAGCATAAGGCACAGCAAGATCATGGGATTCCAAGGGGAGACCAAGGGGATTCCAAGGGCTTAAGTCAGGGCAGAGCACCCTCCCCGCCAACCCCCACATACACCCCAGGCTGCTGAGCAGGGAAAGAGAGATAGGTGAACGAATGAGCACCATGGGTATGGGGGTGGCTGACTCTCCTACCTTCCCTTTGCAGAAAGCTTTGATCTCCTCTTCCGTGGTCTTCTCCCCGCTCTTCAGCCGGATGCAGGCACAGATTTCCTCCCCCAGGCGCTGGTCTTTCACTCCGACCACCTTCCAAGATTCAGAGACAAATATGGGACATTATCCTCTTCCCCAGCCAGCGTTACCTGTTGTCTCCTGGGAGCTCAGCGAGGCTGACGGCCTCACCTGTACTTCCTGCACTTGTGGGTGCTTGTGAAAGAAGTCCTCAAGCTCTGCAGGGTAGATGTTCTCCCCACCCCGAATGATCATGTCCTTGGAGCGGCCCACAATCTTACAGAAGCCCTGCTCGTCCATCACAGCAATGTCCCTGGAAGGAAAACCCAGGCATTTTCTCACCTCTGCCTTATCCCTTGCACAGTCATTCACCAAACATGCATTGAGTCCCTATAACATGTCTTACACTACTGCATTAGACTCCGGGAAGCACAGTAGAAAACAAACTCCTAGCCGGGCGCTGGTGGCTCACGCCTGTAATCCTAGCTACTCAGGAGGCTGAGATCTGAGGATCGCGGTTCAAAGCCAGCCCGAGCAAGAAAGACCATGAGACTCCTATCTCCAATAAACCACCAGAAAACCGGAAGTGGCACTGTAGCTCAAGTGGTAGAGCGCTCGCCTTGAGCTGAAGAGCTGAGGGACAGCGCCCAGGCCCAGAGTTCAAGCCCCACGACCGACAAAAAAAAAAAAAGAAAAGAAAACAAACTCCTTACAACTTATAGTTTAGGTACAAAGGCAAAGAAAAATAAAGCAGTACAATACTTGTCCCCTTCCCCATTCTCTCCTGTCTCTTTCTCTCATTCTTTTTCTCTATTTCCCTATCAATTCATAGGCTTTTCAAGGCTCTGTGTGTGTGTGTGTGTGTGTGTGTGTGTGTGTGTGTATCCTGGGGTTAGAACTCAGGCTCTGGGCACTGTCCTTTAGGGGCTTGACCATTTGAGTCACAGTTCCACTTATGGCTCTTTGGTGGTTAACTGGAGGTAAGAGTCTAACAGACTTTCCTGCTTGGGCTGGCTTTGAACCAGGATCTTCAGATCTCAATCTCCTGAGCTTACAGGTGTGAGCCATCAATGCCTGGCTTGCTTGCTTCTTTTTCAAACCTGAGCTCAAATGTTTTCAGTGGCTTCTCTGACTACCCAGTTTAAGAAAAGCTCTCATTCCCCACCACAGCCACTTTCTCTCCTGTAACCTGTAAATTTTTTTGATGTCTATAATTATCTGTCTACCTCTACCAGACATGTGGGAAGTAAAAGCAGGGTCCACTGGGCCACCTGGTGGAGCAGGGTGCTGGTACTCAGGAAGTGTACAATAGGAAAATGCTAAACTCACAAATGGGTGACCAAGAATCAGGTACCCAGTGGCTCACACCTGTAAGCCTAACTCCTGGGGAGGCTGAAACCTGAGGATCACTGTTGGAAGCCAGCACAGGTAGGAAAGTCCATGAGACACTTATCTCTAACCAGCAAAGAGCTGGAAATGGAGGTATGGCTCCAGTGGTAGAGCACCAGCCTTGAGTGAAAAAGTTAAGGGACAGTGCCAGGCCCCTTGTTCAAGCCCCAGTTCTGGTACACGCACACGCACATGCACACACGTGCACACATACACACACACACACACACACACACACACACACACACACACACACAGTGACCAAATCCTGGATCATATTTTGAGGGTTCAGGTGTAGTCCATTCTTTTAGTGTCTTGACAATATGGCAAGTGGATATACCCTTATCATACACATTTTAGAAATTATGTTTTTGGGGTTTGAAGAGTCCTGGATATTCAGGTTAATTTAATGTTCCCAGCTCAGCCATAGCCTCCCATCAGCAGCCAAAGCACGTACTCTATCCCTTCTTCTCACCCTGTGTGATACCACTTGTCCTGCCCAACTGCTTCAAAGGTCTTCTGAGGCTCGTTCCAGTACCCTAGCATGATGCAGTACCCCCGGATGTACAGCTCCCCCGGCGTGTTCAACTTCACCAGCTCCCCAGTCTCCATGTTCAAGATCTGGGCCTAGGAAAGGTCAGCGTCAGGCCAGGGTCTCCTGCTTCAGGATGGGCAGGACTTCATTATTAGACCCTCCCCCTAAATGAAGCTTCTTGGCTCTGTCCATCCAGGTCCAGGAAGGGGGAGCAGGGCCAGAGTAGATCAACCCCAGTCAGAGACCTGAACTAGACATGAAAGAATATTTGAAGCTCTGGCAGGATGCTGTGGACAGGGGTGGGCAGGATGGCTGAGGAGCAGCCCAGGGAGGGCCAGGCCAGCTGCCAGTTACAAACCACTCAGTAGGAAAGGCAGTCTCTTCTCACTTCCCATGAGATGGCAAATAAAGAAGCTAAACATGGTGGCGTGGCGATGCCATGTGAACAGGGGAAATAGCATCTGAACGCCTAGTAGAGAGAGGAGCCCTAGCCAACAGGCAAAGGAAGCAGTCTCTGTGTGCCTTGATGTCTGCAGTTGGAATATAGAGACCATTATGTTTGCTTCATCTATCTTCCAGGCCACTTCCCAAAGATGGTGGTAAGGGGGTGTTAGATCCATGAGCTGAGCGGGGGCGTCTGTCCCCACAACACCCACCCTCTCCCTAAAAGGCTGCTAGAGCAGAGCAGGCGAGGGTAGCAGTCAGCCGAGGGAAGCATCTGCATGGGCAGCCAGACAAGAACCCCACAGGGACAAGGAAACTGGCTGCCATTGGAGTCCCAGGGTTGGAACGCCAAAGGAGTCTCAGCTGGGAATTTGAGATTTAAGAACTGCTCTGGGGTGATCTTGGAGGGCCCCCCCCCCAGCCCCTGCCACACACACACATACACAAGGCCCAGGCTGCTTAGGAAATGAAGGGTTTGTGCCCAATCAAAAGAGGAACTCTTCCAAAGTGAGAGGTTGTGGGCCCACAGGGAAGAGAGAGCTGAGTAGGAAAAATCTCTGTGCTCTGGCTTCCCTTTGAGTCTATCCTGGCTGCCCCAAAACAGACAGTGGAGCTTGGCAAAAACACACCTCAGACAGGAAGGGAGGCTGTGGAGAGGTTCAGCTGGCAGTTGCTCAGGGCCGCTATCCCAGCTCTCCCCTATTCATGCCAGACCCAGGGAGCCCACACTGCCCCAGGCCCTCAGCTTCTAGAGTTAAGTTGTCTGGATCTCAGAGACAAAGCAACAAATGTCCCCGAGTGGTGGGAGGTGGGCTTTTGGGGGGTCTCAGTGAAGGGGGACTCACCTCTGTGTGGGGCATAACTCTGCCCACGCTTTCTGCCTTCTGTTCTACAGTGTCATCTGGAAAGTTCATGAAGGTCACAGGACTGTTCTCTGTGGTTCCATAAGCAATCTAGAGGGTCCCAGAAGAGAGTTTGGAGGGAGCTCAGTGATGGCAGAGGGTCAGAGTGAACTACTCAGCACAGTGGAAGTTTAGTAACTGAGGCAGCATTGGTAGGAAAACAGAGGCGCTTGATCTCTGCAGCGGCCCCAGATCTAAAATAAAACTGACAGCCAGGAAGCCGTTCTTCCCTGGCCAGGGCTCTCTCTGTCCCTTGTGCCCCTAGAGCACTCACATGTCTATACCTGTGGCTCATAGAAGCCACTGGACATCTTTCCCTATCCCCAGGCTGCCTGAGTTCCCCACCTTCCTGATTTCAGGCCACAACATCCTCCATCCCTTCCCTTCCAAGCCAAAGACCCATAAACTTGATGAGAAAGACAGCCTGCTTTGGTCTCCGACGGGAGCAATACATACACATACAAACACCCTCAATCCAAGACAAGTGCCTGGCTGGCCTTGGGGTGGGTGCCCTCCCCCAAGCTCTGGAGTTTCCTGTAACTTTATTCTCATCAAAATAAAAATATAGCCAGAACAGGGATTTTAAATGCTTGTGACTCCCTCCCACCGCACCGCACTGCAGTGGTTAGAACATCCTGAGCAACAGACAAACCAGAAGCCAGGCTAAATACCATCAGAGAAAGTTCTAGGCCAAGAACTGCCCTCCCCCTAATCTAGAGGAAAGGGGTAAAAGGGGCTTGGAGGAAGAGCAGGCCCTGGAGTCCCCCACAACTGTGAGAGGGCACTGTGTGAAGTGGAGGAGGGCCCAGCTAGCATATCCTACCAGAGCTTGACCTTTGCCCTCTCTGTATCAGCTGGTGTGGCTCTGGCACAGCTGGGGTCTGGGCTCTTCTCCATCTCCCCAAACAGACAATACTGACTGTCAGGCAGCCTGGAGCTCATCCTGGCCAGAGCTGTGACCTGCCGGCTGGCCCTCCCCTGTCCACAGGACCCCAGACACCATGGCTCAAAACTGGGCACATGAAGATCTAGCGGGCTGGGGTGAGTCTGACCACAACCGACCGTCTGGCAGCCTGAGCTGTGGCCAAGGCTGATGCCCTGTGACCAGGAAACAGCCCCCTCCCTGGTCCTCAGTCTCCGGGGCCACTGCCCAGATGTGGCCTCTGCCAAACAGACCTTGGCGCCACTGGGCTGCCACCCTGAGACCCCCCCCTCCCTGAGAGGCGGGTCCTGACCGCGGTGGGGGGGGGAGGGGATGGAGATGTTTGGGGGGAGGTTAAGTAAGAAGGGGGTGGTGTAACTGCGCTTGTCCAGGGGTCTCCTCTCGCTCACCCCTCACTAATTCCCACTCTTGTGCTTAGCTTTCAGCTCTAGATAAATAAAAGGGGGGAGGAGAATCTCAAGCCTAAGGTTAGATAGGAGAAGGGGCTAGGCAGGAGTCCAAGGGTGGGGTAAGAGGCCAGCCCCTCCTTGGTGGGGTGTCTAGCCAGAAGGGGGAGCCCGAGACGCCGGAGCAACAGCGGCTCTCACGCTCGGCCGGCGCCGCACAAGGGCCCCATTAAAGCGCTGGCGGGCCCGCAGGGAGCCGCACGCAGCCGCGCCCGCCGCGCCCGCCCTCCCCAGGCCCAGGGTGAATGGGGGGCTGGGGCGGGGAGGGCGACGAGGACGGGGACTTGGAGACACGGAGACCCAAACCTGAGCAAACAAATAACTCCAGAGCCCGCCTCCTTCTCCTCCGTCCTGTTTAAACTCTACAGACACCCATGGCGGCCCCCTCCCCATTCCAAGAATTAAAATGGCCTTGTGGCTTTATTGAATCAGCATCGCGTCTGGGGGGAGGAGTGGGGAGCAGGAGATGAGGGGTTGGGGTTCAGGGGTGCGCCCCTGAAGGCCCGCCGTGGGGAGGGGGGCGGGCCTCCGGGCGCGCAGGGGTTAAGTCCACGTAGCCCGGCGCCCGGCCTGCGGTGGGTCGGGACCCGCCTATAAATAAGGCGGAGACCCGCGCGCTCAGAACTTGCCGTTGCCCGCGCCCCGGCTGCCGCTGCTCCCCCCCACCCCACCCCAGCCTCGGCTCCAGGCGGCCCCCACCCCCCAGCCTTGGCCATGGCCCACGCGAGACTGTTTCTCAGTCTCGGCCTCCTCGCCGGCCTCCTGCCGATGTTAGCTGCTTGTCCCCCCAAGTGTCACTGCCACGGGGACCTGCAGCATGTCATCTGCGACAAGGTGGGGCTGGAGAAGATCCCCAAGATGTCCGAGAAGACCAAGCTGCTCAATCTCCAGCGCAACCACTTCCCCGTGCTGGCTATGAACTCCTTTAAGGACATGCCCAACCTCGTGTCGCTCCACCTGCAACACTGCCACATCCGCGAGGTGGTCAGAGGCGCCTTCCACGGCCTCCACCAGCTCATCTACTTATACCTGTCCAACAACGACATCCGGGTGCTGCACCCGGGCGCCTTCGAGGACCTGACCGAGCTCACCTACCTCTACCTGGACCACAACAAGGTGACTGAGCTGCGCCCTGCGCTCTTCTCCACTCTGCCCAACCTCTTCATCCTACAGCTCAACAATAACAAGATTCGAGAGCTGCAGCCCGGCACTTTCCAGGGTGCCAAGGATCTGCGCTGGCTCTACCTGTCTGGTAATTCCATCAGTTCTCTGCACGCCAATGCCTTGGATGAGGTGGAGAACCTAGTCAAGTTGCACCTGGATAGGAACCAGCTCTCCAGCTACCCCTTAGCCGCCCTGAGCAAGCTGAGGGTGTTGGAGGAACTCAAGCTATCCCACAACCGTCTGAAGAACATTCCTGCCAAAGCCTTCCAGTCCTTTGGCAAATACCTGGATATCCTCTGGCTGGACCACGCCCACCTGGAAAAAGTGAGTGCTCAGGTTGCAGAACTTGGCCCTGACTCCTTCTTGCCTCCCTCAGAGGCTTGCGAGCCAGGACCGTAGTTGGGTACCATCTCTTCTTGGCAGACTTTCTGTCCATAGCACTATCTTCAACTTCTCTCCCTAGTCTTGTCACATCTCCACCCTAATCTCTGTCCAGAGCTTGTCTCAGCCACTGCTCTATTTATAAGAGAAGTGGGGCTCCCCTGGGCCTACAGATGTCCTCTTAGGCGGCATCTCCAACACTCCCAAATCTCTGCCTGTTGGGCCTCCTACCCCTCCTCTGCTGTTTTTCCCAGTCTCCGGTAAGCCTACCATCCCATAAAGGGAGGTTTGTCTGTTGAGGAGCCTTCCAGAGAAGCTGGGAAAATCAGGCCCACAAAGAGACCCTGTTCCTGCTGGGGGCTGGCATGTGTGCTAAGGTAGAAAGGGAGGTGGGGGTTGTGGAGTGAGTGTGATATAAAATGTCTAAGGAAGATCTCTACATCCCATGGAGGCCCTGATGGATGCTGGGTCCTGTCCCCCAACTGGTTCCTCCCCGCCCCTTATAGGCACAGTTCATTTCATTCTCAGGTCCATTTCAATTAGTAGAGAAGGCCTGGGTCCCTATGGCTCTCCAGGCTGCAGACATGGTGCCTGAGGAGCCTCCAAACAGAGCTGCCCTTTGCCCATCCCATTGTCCTTCTTCCCTGGATGGCCACGCTAGCCAAGTGGGTAAAGTACAATCCTTCCACTGAGACTGGAAATTTTTTTTCTGGGACAGGGCCTTCAGGACAAGGTAGAAGACAGCCTGGAGTACTAGACAATGGCAAGAGTAGATTCTTACCTGGGCAGTGACCAGCCTTTGAATAAACACAGCCTCCCAGCCTGCCTTCTTCAGCCTGGGCCCTTGTCTAAGCTGAAAAGAGACCCTGCTGGGCCCCTCAATGCCAGAATGGTTTTCTGGTGAGCAGCAGGACAGCCATATTAGAGGCTATTTGGGGGCAGGGGAGGTCAGACAGGAACTGTGGTACCTGGGCCAAGATGTGGGTACCAATAGAACATTTCCTTTGGAGGCATCCAACCTGGCCGAAGTCTTTACCAAGGTGGCTCCATAAATAGCATCTGGCAGGCCAAGAGGGAGTGGTGAGGACAGAACTGGAGGGAGTCCCGGGACCCTGGGGTTGTGGGGAGCCTGGGCTTACTGCCTACCCCACCAAACACTAACCAGGTTCATTTGGTGCCCGTCTGGGGCCAAACTCTGGCTACTTCCCCAGGCCCCAATGTTTGTACAGAGAGTGTGGTACAGGACAGGGTGGGGTCTCACAGCTACTGTTTACTTGCTAGTGTGACTGTGGCTGAAGGACTAAACTTTTTCTACTTTTCCATCCACATACTAGAAGCAATAGCTATCTCCCAGTGGGCTTTATGGATTAGGTCATCCAGACTACTTGGTCACTCTGCAACTTCTCAAAGTGCCAGGGCAGGCCTGTGCCTAGCATCCCCCCCTGAGGTGTTGGAACAGGACCCTGGGCTATGGTACTCACTGCTTACCCCTCGGACCCCACCTCCCACCCCCTAGTTCACAGATGATGCCTTCCTGGGTGTGACATCACTGAAGCATGTCCATCTGGAGAACAACCGTCTGAGTCAGCTGCCCTCCAGCTTCTCCTTTGATAACCTGGAAACCTTCACCTTCATCAACAACCCCTGGAAGTGTACCTGCCAGCTCCATGGCCTTCGGCGGTGAGACCAGCCCCCTGCCATGCTCCCCCTAGGGCCCCTCCCCTCACCAAGACATCCTAGGTGTACATCCTAGATTTGTGCTACCTAATGGACCAGGAAGCCCCAGAAGCCTCAGTTTCCTCCTTTGTAAAATGAACATGGAAGCCTCAGACTGTTCTGGAGCCAAGTTTCTCCTAGCCCTATAAGTTCACTCTTCTCTCCCATAAGTACTCTCCTCCATCTCCCCTCCTCGGCAATTCTCTTGTCTTTCCAGGTGGCTAGATTCCAAGAATATTCACTCGGATGCCACTTGCGACACACCCATCAAGTTTAAGGGGCAGCACATCCGTCACACGGATGCCTTCCGCAGTTGCAAATCTCCCACCAAGAGGTCCAAGAAAGCTGGCCGCCATTAAACAGGTGAGGGCCGGCCAGACCGGTCACCTTCCCCATCCTCCCCCTTTAGAGATTCTAATAAAATGCTGGTTATCTCCCAAGATAATACCACCACTGAGGAGATAGGCAGACCCTCTTTTTTTTTATATCTGTCCTGGGGCATGAACTCAGGGCCTGGCTGCTGTCCCCCAGCTTTTTTTGCTCAAGGCTAGCATTCTACCATTTGAGCCACAACACCACTTCTGGCTTTTTTGGGTAGTTAATTGGAGATAAGAGTCGCCTGGACTGTCTTGCCTAGGCTGTCTTCAAACCATGATCCTCAAATCCCAGCCTTCTGAGAAGCTAGGATTACAGGCAGGACCTACCGGTGGCCAGAAGATCCTCCATTTTTTATAGGAAGAGGTGGGGAGGGCAGCCCCCCCCTCCTTCAAGGACTGTATCTAGGACTTCCACTGCTCCCTCCAACATTGTCCTAGTGGTTAAAATCTTGACATCAATTTTTGCCTTCCCACACAGGTCCTGACCCAGCCAGTCCTGGTGACTGGCCTCTGCCTTCTGCTGGAGAGACTACTGACCTTCCCACTGCCGCCTACATGTTCTCCCCACAGCCTCCGCTGTCCACAGAGCTGTCCATAACTAGACACGTCCTGGCAGGGGGCCTCAGACACTCTACTACTAACCCAACTCCAACTAGTGGGGTCTAGGGGCAGACACAGCCCCTCCTCAGCCATCAAGACTGGATCCCATTGTGGCTCCTCTCAGAGGAGCTGTTTGCTGATCCCCAACTCTATTAGAACCAGAATGCGGTGATTCTCAGAATAGCCACCTTCCCAGAATCAGCCTTACTTTGCTCCCTTTTCCCCTACCATTAGAAAACAAACATCAAACCCTTCCCACCCCCCCTTTTGCTTCCAGAAAGGGCCTCAAGTCCATTTCCCAACTCTGCTGGCCTCCACTTGCCAGGACATGCTAATAGGACACCGGTGCTTTGCTGCACATGCTGCATTTCTGCCCCAGATTTCTACAAATATAAATTTATGTGTGTAGAATATTTGCTCCTCCATCACCTGTCTCCACACCTCTCTAGATACTGATGAGGTCAGACTGTCTTGTCCCATCTCTTTCTGGAGGGAAGGGCTGCTCCTTTCTCCTTTGGACCCCTGGTGTGGTTTGTTTGTCCATATTCACTCCCCCCACGGTTCAGTTCTACCCATCACTCACCACCAGCTCCTTCATGTTCATCTTGTTGATGATGGCCCGGATCAACTCAGGGGGTGCAGGTGACCCAGCAATCACACCTGAATCAGAAAGAAAGGCTGCCAGGCACTGATGGCTCATACCTATCATCCTAACTACTCAGGAGACTGCGATCTGAGGATAGAATTCAAAGCCAGCCAGCCTGAATGAGATTCTTATCTTCAATTTACCAGCAAAAAGCCAGAAGTGGAGGTGTGGCTAAAGGGGTAGAGTGCCAGCCTTAAGCAAGAGAGCTAAGCAAGAGTATAAGACCCTGAGTTCCAGTCCTAGTACTATCATGAGGGGAAAAAAAAAAAAGGAAAAGACAGACAGACAGACAAAAAGAACAAAAGAAAGAAAGACACACACGCACATACACACAGCTCTCCATTTCCAGGCCTGTTGGACTCCCTTCCTTCCCTTATTCCTGAGTTTGTTCCCCCACCTTTTAGCTGGCCTTGATCTGGTATCCAGGGACACTGGGGATTTTCTTCCCACCCCCATCTCTACGATGCCCTTCCTGCCCCTACATTAAAAACTGGCTAGGTTAAGCTGTTCCAGTTGGAAGCAGCCTCCTCCTGACACCTGGCTCTACCCCACCTCCACGCATGTTGGAGAAGTCATAACTGGAGAAGTCTGGCTGGTTCAGAATATCCACGAACATTGTAGGGGTGCCATACAGGAAGGAGCCTCTGCATAAAGAACAGTCTGAAAATTAGGCTTGGAAATGGAACAAACTCCCTCTCCGCACCCCTCCCCCCCCCCCACGCTGACCCTCTAGCAAGGGCCAAGGCCAAAAGCTCAAGGCAGGAAGGGGTCCTCTCTTGGGAATCCCCCACTCTCCCATCTGAGGTTTCCTGGCTGGAGGGCAGAAAAACCTCTTAGAAAGTGATCAGGGCCCAGGAGGGTCTCATCAGCCTATAGATGGCCTTCCAGCAATGCCCACTTCTCTCTGTGGATGGTCTCCAGCGCCTTCTTGCCATTGAAGCTTGGAGAGGACAGGAAGAGCGTGGCACCATGCAGCACACACATCATTGTGCCCCCCACGGAGCCCAGGCAGTGGTACAAGGGGTTGGGCAGGACAAACCGCAACTCCTCTGTTGTCTAGAGATGGAGACAGAAGGCTCCAGGTCTATCATGGGGTCAATCCCTCCAGCCAGCAGAGGGAGCCCACAAACCATCCCATGGCTGTTCCAACAGCCTGGAAGCCTTTTTGTGTGTGAAGGGAGGATCACAGGCCTTACCTTCAAAGGCAGTCTCAGGCGATGGCCTATGAAGTTGGAGTTGTTCACGATGTTGTAGTGGGAGAGGGTGGCTCCCTTGGGACTGCCTGTGGTCCCCTGAGAAGACAAGCAGATAACAGCTTGGCCACCTTTGACTGGCTACTGCCCAGAAGAACATAGGACTAAGAGTTCAGGGACTAGGATTGTTGCTCCAGATCCATTCATTCTTTGTGTATGTGCAAAAGGTCTACAACGTGATGCATAGTGCCAGATGTTGGGATCCTGAAATTTGAAAGAGGTCTCTGTCTTTATGCCACTTACGTGTCTTGTAAGAACTCTGTTGCCCACTGACTTTAGGGCTTGGGCAAATTCCCTCTCTGGGCCGCTGAATCTCCCTCAGCTAAACAGAGACAGTCTTAGCTAGCTCTGACCCTTTGAGTCCTGGTGAGATGGGTAAATGTGCATGCTACTGGGAGCAACAGAGCTGGGAAGCGAGTATGTGACAAGGATATCATTTGTGGATTTCCCAAAATGTACAAGTAGGCTGGAAGTCTGTGTCTGGAGAGAGTGCCTGCTCTCCTAATTTCCTCTGCCTTCTCCCACCCCTGGGAAAGGGTCATAGGGGTAGGGGGACATGTGTCAGGTGAGCTCAGGACCTGGAGACCTCCACCCTACCGAGGTGAACTGGACGTTGATGGGGTCAAAGCAGGACAGGAACTGCTGGGTGTACCGGAGGTGGGCCAGATGATCCTCTGAGCTACCAGCTGCCATCACATCATCTAGCAATAGGGTCCCCGGCAAAGAGGCGTCCACCAAGATGACTGTGGTCAGATCTGGGAGCCTGGGGGACAGGGAAGGTGGTGACAAGCAGGGGTGGAGGAAGGGCCCAGGGTGGCAAAAGCCCTACCCTTGGTGTTAGGGGGTGATGAATGGGCCAGGGATAATGCATGGAGTTTCCCAAACCTGGGACAGGATACACCCACCTCTTACTCTTCAAGGCCCCCGGCTGAGCCTTTTCTAGTTCCGGACAGATCTGCTTCAGGATATTGTAGTATTGTTGGGTCTTGAATTCCTTGGGGAACACAAGGGCTTTGCAGCCCACCTGTAGAAGGGGAGCCCCCCAAACTGGTCGTCAACAGGAAGCCCCAGACGGACACTCTGCAATGTGCCTACTCTTCCTTGAAAACAACGGAAAGCCCCCAGATCCAGGCACCAGCTGGTCCTACTTACCTTCTTGAGGACATACTCCAGTTCCAAGGCCTGGTAGGCGGGGTTCACAGACACCTGGGGGAATAGGCCTCACAAGTGTGTCAGTGTCCTGGGCCTAGTCTCCCATTTGTTGCCCTCCCTCCATTCTCAGAAGGTCCAAGGTAGCACCCTGCCCTGCCAGGCTTCTTCGTGGGCCTGAGCAGAAAGCATTACTGACTCTGAAGCCAGCCAGGCACTGACTGGTTGGATTATGGGGCTAAGGAGCCCAGAAGGCTCCCTCTGAATGACATTCTCCTGCCCCCTCCATTCACACACATATACCCCATTGTGCCAGGCAAACTCCTCCTTACCAGGATGATGCCTGCCTGGGCAGTGGCCAGCTGCATTAGAATCCATGCATAGGAGTTGGGTCCCCACATGCCCAGCCGGTCACCCTTACGGAGACCAATGCTCAGGAGACCAGAAGCAGCCTTGTCTACCTGGTGGAAAAAAGTGGGGACCAAGGAGTGAGATGGGGGCGAGCAGAAAGGGGCCATCCATGACTCCTACCCCAGGCCCTCGGTCCAGAGAGCCACATCAGACTCCACAGAAGCAAGGGGCCAAGTAGATATCTAGGCCTTAGTGGACCTGCAGTCCAGCTGAGTACACAGTTAAAACAAGTGCTCAGGAACATCTAGGCCACCCCTGCTTCATTCAACCACATCCTCTTCCACTGCCATCCCTTGGTGTCCACAGTCATGTACCCATTCTCTAGCTTCACCCAACCAAGGCAGACTAAGGACTACCAGCTGTCCACTCCGAGGATTCAAGGTCAGGACCCACCTCCTCCTTGAGCTGTGCATAAGTCAGCCTGATGTCTTCATGGACAATGACCAAGGCCTCTCGGTCAGGGAACTTTTGTGCTGTGGCATCCAGACACCCACCCACAGTCCGGTCGATAAGATGGAAGTTGGTTGAGCCCTGAACGTAGCTAAGGCCTCCAATAGGCAGGGGGGTAGTGCGCTCCATCTCGATGGAACTGTGGGAAGAAGGGCCATAAGCTGGGCCTCCTTTGCACAGTTAACTGCAGGTTAACTCCACATCTTTTTTTTTTTTTTTCCTTCAGTTGTGGAGCTTTTTCAGAGCCCGGGTGCTGTCTCTGAGCTCCTTTTGCTCAAGGCTAGCACTCTACCACTTGAGCCACAGTGCCACTTTTGGCACTGAAGATAAGAGTCTTACAGACTTTCCTGCCCAAGCTGGCTCTCACCCACAATCCTCAGATCTCAGCTTCCTGAGTAGCTAGAAGTACAGGCATGAGCCACTGGCATCTAGCTCCCCATCTTCTTGTAAGCCTAGAACATCACCACTGTCTTATTTTCTAACTTCAAGTCTAACTCTGAGAAAGCAGAATAAGGACAAAGAGTCCTACCCGTTCCTTCCTGGCAAGGAAGAAGTGTTGATGGAAGCCTGGGAGAGTCCACTCACACAGAGACAGAGCTTACAAGACGTCATCACAACCACTTACCCATCTGCCTACTGAGGGATGAAGAGGTCATGAGGGTCTCTCCCCACCCCTTCCAGCAACTGGTAAAACCTATACTTGCTCCTAGAGCTGAAATCCAAGGCCTTAGAGAATCTGGCTTCTTGGATCCTCAGTAGGCCAACCAGCTTCTGTCCTCTGGGCCTGAACTTCAAAGGCAGAATAGTAAGGAGATTGGGTGGCAGCTTTAGGAGAGGGGGCTAGAAGTGGCTCCTGTTACTTGACAGGCTAGCCATGGTGAAGTATCAGGTGCCAGCAAGACACTGGGTAACTGCAGATGAAGGGGAGAACCCCCCTACGTTCCAAATAGGACTTGGGCTCAGGCTCTTACCCTCAGATGATGTTGCAAAGCGGAGGTAATTGTGATGGAAGAGGATGGTGGCATTTGGAGGATGTGGCGATCCTGAGCACCACAGAACACTCAGAGAGAAGTCTGGGTAACAGGATGTACCACACTAACCATTCCTCAAAAAGATATTCCAGGGGCTGGGAAAGTGGTCCAGTAGTAGAGTGCCTGCCTTGCATGCATGAGGCCCTGGGTTCGATTCCTCAGCACCACAGGCACAGAAAAAGCTGGAAGTGGTGCTGTGGCTCAAGTGGTAGAGCGCTAGCCTTGAGCTGAAGAGCTGAGGGACAGCGCCCAGGACTGACAAAAAAAAAAAAAAAAGATATTCCATTCCTTTTTTTAATGTCAGTACTGATGCTTGAACTCAGGGCTTAGGCTCCTTAGCTTTTTCACTCAAGCCAATGCTCTTCTGGCTTCCTGATGATTAACTAGAGATAAAAATCTCATAAGCTGAGCGCTGGTGGCTCACACCTGTAATCCTAGCTACTCAGGAAGCTGAGATCTGAGGATCACAGTTCAAAGCCAGCCCAGGCAGGAAAGTCCATGAGACTCTTATCTCCAATTAACCACCAGAAAACTGGAAGTGGCATTGTGGCTCAAGTGGTAGAGTGCTAGCTTTGAGCTGAAGAGCTAAGGGATAGCTAAGGTCCAGAGTTCAAACCCCATGCCTGACCACCCCCCCCAAAAAAAAAAATCTCACAGATTTCCCTGCTCAGGCGGGCTTTGAACTAATCTTCACATCTCAGCCTCCTGAGTAGCTAGCATTACAAGCATGAGCCACCAGCAGTAGGCCAGAAACTCTGTTCTTTATGTCACCATCACTCTCAACAAGGGATTCCTGTGATACTCATGAATCTAATATTAAAAAACAAAACAGGTACCAGTGGCTCATGTCTGTAATCTTAGCTACTCAGGAAGCTGAGATCTGAGGATCGAAGTTCAAAGCCAGCCCAGGCAGAAAAGTCCCCATCGAGACTCTTATCTCCAGTTAACCACTCAAAAACCAGAAGTGGTGCTATGGCTCAAGTGGTAGAGAGCTGGCAGGCCCTGAGTTCAAGCCCCACAACTAACAAAAATAAAATAATTAAACATAGGGCTGGGAAGGTGGCTCAGTGGTAGAGTGCTTGCCTTGCATGCCCGAGGCCCTGGATTCGATTCCTCAGCACCATATAAGCAAAAAGAAAAAAGCCGGAAGTGACCCTGTGGCTCAAGTGGTAGAGCGCTAGCCTTGAGCTGAAGAGCTGAGGGACAGCGCCTAGGCCCAGAATTCAGGCCCCACGACCAGACCCCCCCCCCAAAAAAAAATAATAATTAAACATAAAAAATACCGGTGAGACTTATAAGGACCCATTCTTTTTTTTTTTCTTTTTTCGTCCTTCCTTCCTTCCTTCCTTCTGTCCTTCCTTCCTTCCTTCCTTGCTTGCTTGCTTGCTTTTTTTTTTGCCAGTCCTGGGGCTTGAACTCAGAGCCTGGGCACTGTCCCTGAGCTTCTTTTGCTTAAGGCTAGCACTCTACTACCTGAGCCACAGTGTTACTTCCTGCATTTTCTGCTTATGTGATACTACAGAATCAAATCCAGGGCTTTATGTGTGTTAGGCAAGCATTCTACCACTAAGCCACATTCCCAGCCCTAACGACCCATTCTTAAGAAAGCTGAAGGGCAGAGAGGCCAAGGATCTGCAGGGATGGAAACTTGCTGAACCGGAAGCTGGGAATCCAGTAAGGACAGCCTCAACCGTCACAGCCAGCCCGCCCTGCCCATCCCACCCAGGACAGGAGTACTTAAGAGACAGTTTCTATTCCTGCCACTTTGGCTGATTACCAGAGAATATCTTCAACTTTACCTCTTCCACACTTTCTATAACTGATCCTAAAAAAATAAAAATCAATGAGGGTAGGGTAGCGTTGAGGGGGAACCAGGTAACTGTTCCAAGCAATTAAACAAGTTATAGAAACGTGTATCAATACAATTTGCTCATAAACACTAAAACCACCCTTGCCATTTTATCACTTCAGAAGCACAAGCAGAAACACACAGATTCTTCTTCCCTGCCAACACCCCATATCCCATATATGTCCAAGAAGGGCAACTGTTTCCTTTTTTTATGTTCCTACAGAGATGTGGAGAGATTTTAGGAAAAGTAGGTATGTGTGTATATGTGTGTGTGTGTGTGTGTGTGTGTGTGTGTGTGTATGTGTGTGTGTGTGTGTGTGTGTGTGTGTGTGTGTGAGAGAGAGAGAGAGAGAGAGAGAAGGGGGTGAGGGACAGAGAGGGAAAGAATGTGGAAAGAGGGAGCTTAGAGAGTTGGAGAAGAGCCAGTTGGTCCCCAGGAATTTGAAGTAAATGGGTGTTGGAGCTATCAGCTACTTAGATTGGGGACTGCAGAATTCAAAGCCGTTGGTGGCCAGGTGGACCAAAGCCAGGAGGAGCTACAGGGGGACAAGAGACAAAACATAGTCCTACCTAAAGATGCTCTTAGAGAGCTGCCCCCATAGATATTCAAACTTCATAAGAGAAATTCCACTTCATAAGAGAAATCAGGAACAAGGAAGTTTTAAAGAAAATATTCTCCTGACTCTAGTTGGCAACAAATGTATTCACTGCTTTATTCCCAGTGCCTGAAACAAAAGAGGTACTCAGAGGAATGACTAATTGAATGAGTTAAAAGTAATGGACAAGCCACGCGTTGGTGGCTCACGCCTGTAATCCCAGCTACTCAGGAGGCTGCGATCTGAGGATCAAGGTTCAAAGCCAGCCCGGGCAGCAAAGTCTGTGAGACTCTTATCTACAATTAACGACCAGAAAACCAGAAGTGGTGCTGTGGCTCAAGTGGTAGAGTTCTCTCTTTGAGCTGAAGAGCTGAAGGACAGTACCTAGGCCCAGAGTTCAAGCCCCACGTCGGAAAATAAATAAATAAATAAAAAACAAATAAATGACAGAGTAGGACATCAGTGGCTCACTCATAATCCTAGCTACTGTGCTCATGCCTGTAATCCTAGCTACTCAGGAGGTTGAGAGCTAAGGATCATGGGTCGAAGCCATCCCAGAAAAGTCCATGAGTCTCATCTCTAACTACCAAAAAAGCCAGAAGTAGAACTGTGGTTCAAGTGGTAGAGCACTAGCCTTAAGGGAAAAGCCAAGCAACAGCACAAGGCCTTAAGTTCAAACCCCAGTACTGGCGCGGGGGCACACACATATAATGGACATAATTCACACATAGGCAAGGAGACCGGAGGTGTGGCTTGCTGGTAGAGTGCTAGCCTAGCATGTATGAGGCTCTAGTCCCAGCATCACAATGTGAGAAAAAAATGAAAAAGTAAAGGAATTTGAATAGACATCTCTGCAAAGAAGATATATGAATGGCAAACAAGCATATGAAATGCAAATTAAAACCACTATGAAAGCCAGGCGCTGGTGGCTCATGTCTGTAATCCTAGCTACTCAAGAGGCTAAGATCTGAGGATCACAGTTCAAAGCCAGCCTGGTCAGGAAAGCCCGTGAGACTCTTCAATAAACCACTAGAAAACCGGAAGTGGTGCTGTAGCCCAAGCAGTAGAGCACTCACCTTGAGCTGAAGAGATGAGGGACAACACCCAGGCCCAGAGTTCAAGCCCCACGACCGACAAAAAAAAAACAAACAAAAAAAAACACTCCCTAGCACCATTTTACATCCACTAAGAAGGCAAAAACAAACAAATGAAAAACCAAAAACACAGTAAGGGGGACCATGTGGAGAAACTGGTATCCTATACATTGTTGATGGGAATGTGAATTGTTAGCCACTGTGGAAAAGAGGATACAGTTCTTATAAAGGCTAAATGTAAAATCACCATCAAACCTACAACTCCACTCCAGTGTTTTGAACTAAGTTGTTTGCACTGGGTTCCAACAGGCCAGACTAAAACACAAAATGGAATTACCCAAGCTATGATTTCATGTGATGGTTAAAATAAAATTAAGCTCTTTCAAGAAGCCAGGTAATGGGGCTGGGAAGGTGGCTCAGTGGTAGAGTGCTTGCCTCACATGCATGAGGCCCTGGGCTCAATTCCTCAGCACCACATAAACAGAAAAGGCCAGAAGTGGTGCTGTGGCTCTAGTGGTAGAGTGCCAGCCTTGAACTGAAGAGCTGAGGGACAGCGCCCAGGCTGAGTT